GTAATAAATTTCTGCTTTCTAGCAAGGAAAAGAAAGACGTTCGCGAACAGCAAGATGAGGAGAGTGATGTTACACCTGTTTCGTTGATTTCATTAAATGATAGACGTCGTGACGTCTCGCTGGAGACTCATTCAAGCTCGAACGATCAGGAGATTATGATAGCGAAATCTTCGGCCTCACTTTCAGGTGATAAAGCGGTTCTATACTCTGATGATTACCTGAATTTAATCGAAATGGAAAGCACTGCCAAAAAGTCAGAAGCTGTCGTTGGCGAAGAGCCAAACATGCTGCTTGAATCAAGTTCCTTTAATGATGCTTGTGCTGGATCCAGGCCTTCATTTGACCGATCATTCCAACAAAGTGTCTTAGAATTCCGATCTTTAAACACTTTCTCTGATAAAAGTGACCCTGTTTGGGAGGACACAGGGAGCCCATGTTCTCCATCTGCCTGGATCATACCCTCGCCTCCAACGCCTACTCCGGAACTTCAAGAAGATGATATTCAAGTTGTCTCGCCTCCTCCTACTGATACTGCAGTATTATATGAGGATGAATTGGATAAGGAGCTTGAGGACCTGATTGTCCCACCTCCTCCTTTGGCTGAAAGTGTCACTACCATTTCAGATATAAAAATTGCCTCTCCCCCACCATCACTACCCAAGCAAATAACCAACCAAAACGTTACAGACGATTTAAACTGCGATTACGACGAAGTAAGGTTTCTGTCCTTGACTGATGATCATAAAATCGCTCACAACAAAGGACTGCGGGTAAATTTTACGGAAGACAACAAAATTAAAGCTCAAAATGTTGAGGCTCGCGGATTGTTTGCTTCAAAACGAACATTTTATGCAAGCCAGTCAGCATTTTCAAGTTGCGGCACTTACCAACACAACATATCTGCCAAAACCTACTCAGCAGCTTCACTAAAACAAAAGCCTGCTGTTCCCCCCAAACCATTTTACTTACAGTCAACAAAAAGTAAAAGCAGAACGATCAGATGGGATACTATTCCCGCAGATAAAGGTATGGACGCTTCGCTGAATGCAAAGCATGTGATCAAACCTGAAGGTAATGCCACCGTGGCTAGAACCATAAATGAACCTGAGCAATGTTTAAATCAACTGCATACGAGGGCTGGCCTGTCATTTTTGCCATCTCAATTTCACGATGAAACCTTCTCTAAGGATTCAAACAATAATGATGAATGTCCCGTGCAGTCCCAATCACAGGTACAAACATCCTTTAAAGCTTTGGGGAAGGTTTTGGAGTCAGACCCGGGAGGCGAAGTTAAATCTAGTAAATGTAAGGATGAACTCTTCTTGAACTCTTTTGTGGAATCGGATTCCATGAGTACGTCTAAAAAGCCCGTGGCGTTTCATCCAACATATGTGGTTTCTACCTTGGTTACCTCGGAAGACGTTTTAACCGAACATGAGATAAGTGAACAACCTGGCTCTAGTAGAATGAGGAGAAGCTTTAAGTTAATGACCAGACCACAACGACCTATACAATCTTCCAAGAAAGGCGTCTTTAAGTTTCTATCTCACAAACAGTCTGTTGATTTCAACGAGGATGTTAATGAAAATTTGTTGCCTCTATCGACCCCGTCGCTTACCCCTGACAGTTCCCCACCTCCATTGCCGGAAACTTCACCTCCGAAAACCATTGTTGGTTTAAATGACGATCATTTTGACTTCGGCGAAACGTTAAGTGATACATTGGAAGATTATGCCCAGAGTTACGGTCGCGAGGACCAATGCTTCGATCTTCCTTCTTCTGCAGCGGAATTGAAAAGCAGGCGATCTCTAGACAAACTTCGTAAACGGGGCAGTTCCACTGACAGCTTGCCGAAAAGTGAAGAGGAAACTTCCAGTAAATTCTACATCACTGGTTCATCCCCTCGAGGCATAAGCTGGAGATCTTTTAGCGAGGACAATCTTCATGTTGAAGACGAGAGATCTTGCAGAATTCCCAGCATCATTTTTAGTCAGAATAGAAAGTTGGGTGACGTCATTGATTCATGTTCAGGCTTTCAGTTTCTGGATCAACATCAAACTGACTCTGTAGAGACAAAATGCTCTGAAGTAGTCAAAGAAGGACTGTCAAGAGTTTGCAGCTTTAAAAAAAGGCTTGAATTCTGTTTGAAAGAAGGTTTGACAATTGAAAAATTACCAGATGAACGAATGAACTGGCTGTTGATGTTACAAAACAACGCTAGGTTCTTAGCATGTGACGTCAAAGTTATCGTTTCGAGTGTTCGAAGAGGAACCGCTCAAGTTGTGTCAGCAATCCAGGCCTCTTTAGATTCTTTGGAAAAGCTGGTGGAATCTTGCGAGAAAGCCAACGCGACAGTTGTTGAAAACACGACATGGAGTGTCAGTACGATGGTATCAATGGTGATTGAGGTGGTAGAGCACTGTGGTGATGTCATCACAAGTGTGGAAGCCACAGTGGAAGAACAGCCAAATAACTGCGGTTTGGAATCATTGACTGAGAAAGCTAATGCCCTGGGAACGTTAATTGCTTCATTGATCAGAAAGATACGAAAGGGTTGATGGGCAAGATATGATGCTATTGCTTTGTTTAAGGAAATAAAACTTATTGTGTCACGTTTTGCAATATGATACCAGCTACAGGCTGATTGGCCTTTGAAACGGTTGAAGCTTCTTTTTTTTGTTTCAGTGGTTGACATATACAACTAAAGCTGTTGATCAATACTAAGTAGAAGCTTTTTTAGTTTTTGTTTTAGTCCAAAAAGCCTTTGTAAAATGTAGATTATTTTGTAATTAACTTAATGAAAACGTCCGCATTAATGCGATTGACTGGTGTACGAAACAGAATATCCCCCTTTATTTTTTGCTATTATTTACTCTAAGATGATGTCGGATGATGATGTCGGAAAAGTCGGACTGATTCTGCATGAACCTATTTACTTTGCTAGATTTCTGGACCGATGGAGCGTATCCAATCCTTCCTTTCTTCCCTTTTTTTTTCATCCCGGGAATTCGTCCTTTGAGACTGTCTGACCTTGTATGTTTTGTAACAATGGACATTAATTTTGACACCTTTTTTAGAGGTGTGTTTACCGTTTATCTCCACCACATTGAGACCCTCTTAGAACCAAGTAGTCGGTCTGTTTCTTGTCGACAGATTGATTTACATGTAATGGTCGAGGACTTTTATTTATTGCAATGGAATTTTATCATTTTCATCAGTGATTTCATCAAATCATATTTAAAGCTAATTATTTGATTGAACTTTCTATTTATTACCATTAGGATAATTAAAAAATATCCTTGTTGTACAAGGGCTGCAGCATCTACAATTGTAAAAATAAATAAAGGCGAAAAAGTATTTTGCTTAGCCCTTCAACTTGAGAAACGCTACTTTGAAAACAAATAAATGCTTGGATCTCAATGTTACTGGGTTCGGCAGTTTCTCATCTCTCAGTTACTTTTTGCATGCCGAAGCGCTTAAATAATAGCAGTGACGCAATATAACATTAATATATGAGAATTTACTCAAGGCAGAGAGGCTTACGCCATAAACCAAAAGTGAACATATTGACGCCCAAGGATAAATAATTCATGTATTTTGTTTTATTTCCCATATTCTCAGAACTAAGTATATATAGATTTTAACGTACTGAAGATGGTCTTAATTCGTTTTTAACATGGCTCGTACACTCTTCAAAAGGTTTTCAATTTTAGTGGTCTTCTTGAAAAGTCCTTGAATGCGTTTAGGTCCTTTAAAAAGACTTGATTTCTTTATTAGGTCTTGAAAAGTCCTTGAAATTCACAAAATTGTTTACGCCAGACACCATTTTCTGTAAAATTATATTATTTTATTTGCCGAGGAAAGTTGGGCTCACCCTCGGTGTAGGAACCTGTAAACCTAATGGGTAACTTAAGAACATTTTTGTGTACAAACAATATTTTATTTCTGTTTCTTTATTTCAAATGCTATTTCTGTACCTCAGATGCAACTGCAAATCGTTCCCAGTCATTGTGCAAAGTCTTGTTGCGGAAAGTGGTATAAAACAATGTTATCAACGAAGGTCGAAGAAGTAAAAATCGTAAATGACTCCGTGACGTGTTTTAGACAATAGGGTGATCAAAGGGAGTTTAAAAATGCCGATTCATTAAATAAACCTTAGTCCTTTAAAACCGTAATTTATCCTTGAAAATTCTTGAAAAGTCCTTGAAATTTGTTTGTCTGAAGTTGTACGAACCATGTTTTAAAGTATTTCACTGTTTTCCCAAAACAAACGAGGAACTTTTATTTTCGCTTGTCTGTCAGACCTCAATGGTAGACCTGCCAGGAGATGATGTTGCGTGTTTCGATAAGAAAATTGCAGTTGAACTGTGGAGAATAAAAGAGTGCTCAGACTTCTGGTTGTCTTACCTTTCTAAACAAAAAAAATTGTCGTACTTAAGTTTTTCTTAATTTACTTTGAAGCAAAGAACGAACGAAAACCGGAAGCTATGCTGGTGACGCTGGTTGGTTCGCTCTAACGTCAGCTTAGAAGAACCTTATCCTTGACAAATTTGAAACGTTTATTATGCTGGTCCTATTTTTTTAACTTACAATAATTGTTGCTATAAAGTAGAACGGCGGGAGGAGTTGATTTCTTACAATAATTGTTCAAGCCTCGTTCTTACTTAAGTGTTATCTCTAACCTTTTTCCCTTTCTCAGTTCTATTTTGCCTGCAGGCAAACGTCAAGAGAAAGCTCTCTCGAAGTTTAAGTACCATATTTTTTTATTTTTATTTTTTAATTCTATCAATAATCATTTTGTCTGATCATACACATCGCACTAGAAATGTTGAGAGTATCTGACTCTTACCAAAGGAGATCATAACACAAAGGATAGTCAACATTAGAGACTTATTGTCATTGTTTCATGGGTATTTGTCCAATATGCTAATGCATTTACTTGTACTAATCTTAACCAATCTTTCTCTTAACTACAATTTTCTGTCGTTGGCGCGGACTAATCATTCAGCAAGTTTGTTCATCAATTCCAAAAGTCCATCATCTAAGATGACTGTACCACACTTTTCATCGCTCGCATGGCGGTTAGCATTTTCATCATACAAAACGCTTTCGGTGTCATCCTCAACATCACTTATCACCTGGTTGCCATGGAAATTTGCATCTTGATCATTCATGGCCGTGTCTGCATTGTCGTCAATATTTATTTGTTGATTTGTATTTTCATCTTTTCCGCCTTTCTCTGCACCTTCATCGGCATCAACGTTATCAACAGCACCATCGTTGTAACCATTGATCTCTTCAAGGTTTTCATTTTCTTCGCTTGCACCAATCTCTTCGGAAAGATCCTCTTTATCTTCCACACCGCTATCAACTTCATTATTATTGTCCATACTGGTGCTCTTTACAACACACGCACAGGATAACACCGGTCGATCGTTGAGCGGGCAAGCTGGTCTACAGTGGTCTGCCATAGATTCTCCAATGCTGTTTCGAATACTGCGGAACGCATTCATCTGTAAATAGCACAAATTGAAGATTTTTAAAGAGAATTTGATGCCTGCCGTTCTTAAATAGATATTTTGACCTTCAAGAAAGGACACCTTGTCAATACTTTGTCCATCGTAGAACAAGTTGAGCGTGTAACTAACTGTCAATATGAACTGTAAAATCAGCAAACTGCCTTGGTTTCCCTGTATGGCATGTTTTCGCAACCTCACCATACTAACCTGTTTCTCAGAAAGGCCCATGATATTTTGCGATATTAACCACGTGACATTTTCACTTAGCGGAGGTGTAGTAAGAGAGCCCTGGTATGTCCAGTAAGAGTTCATATCTGGAAAATAAATATCAGGGTATGGATGCATTGAACCATATAAACACTTAACATAAGCTCTCTTTGTTTGTACTTCAGCGATACGAGTCTTATTATAGTAAGAGATCCCATTAGCCATCCATATGTGAAAAACCCAAATAGACTGGCAGACAGAGACGTTGTCAAAATAACTCTTTCAATGGGGCATGGTACGAGCATTCCATCAAAAATAATGATTGTAATACCCAGTAAAGTCAAAGAAACAAAAACAAAAATGCTGTTGCTCAGTTTTCCTTAAGTCATCGAGGCATCCACTTAACACCTGAAAAACTACTGAATGCCTCTCAGCTCAGTTGAAACATTTTAGCAGTATTGAGCACCACTGTACAAATGTTATTTTACAAAGTGGTAAAATAACCAGAACAAATAATAACATTAACTAACCTGCAATGATTTTATTTGGGTCTATGGCAGATTTTACCTCCAAGGAAAAGCACCCCTAAAAGTAAAGATCACTTAAGCTGTTGTTCTAATGACATAATATTGTAATAACTGTCTCCGATCACTCGCTAAGTCATTGCCAGTCCAAACAACGATAAAACATTCCAAATACTCGCAGTAAGTAAGAGCACCGTAGTTGTTCTCAGCGTTCTTCGGTTTTGCCCTCGCCTCAAAAATTATCATTTTCTGTTCGATCAAGAACAATGGCAGACGAAAAACCACTGTGCCGCCCACCCGCGCTGTCACTAAATCTTTTTTTTTTTCGGCTATTTATTTGTTCATTTATTTGTTTATTTATTTATTTGCTCATTCGATTAAACAAATCGCGATATATTTATCAAACAATCAATCTGGCTTAACAACGTCTTTCGTGGATTAGGCCTTACCTTGTTCTCATCCCTAGAAAGTAATTTAATAACTGGTGCTAAGCCTTCATTGTCCTCATCTGTTACCTAACGACACGTGAATCATTAGTTCAATGACGGTTTATGATGGCTATTTGTTGGATACAATCTGCAACCCTTTTGAAACTTTTCGATCTCAGTCTGTTAGTCATAGAAAAAAAAAATTAAAAAATATATGGAGCAATGGTTCTAATAAACCCTGCCGCCAGGTTAGTTCAGTTGCATGAGCACTGGTGAAGTTAAAGGTCTTTGAAACACTAGTAAGAGGTCTGGTTGTGTTTTAAGGCCTCTTCTCAGTTCAACTGATCACATATTTGGGCAATGACATTTAAAAAGCTATTGATCGTGTCTTCTTAATCCTCCCGTAGTATCACTTCCAAGGGAACGTAAAAGAAATTGAAAGGGCATCCAAACCTTTTTCTCCAGGTAACCCCTGAACCCTAAATGAAGCACAACTCAGTTGTTTGTGTTGCCCTTGTGTTGGTCTTACAGTAACAATAGACCATTTAGTTATACTTGCCATGGCTTACCTGATATAAGAGTCCGATTATGCATATCCCATTTTCTCCTGTGATTGCTTCTCCAATGTTCTTATACACATCTGCATTCCAATGAATAAGCTGAACCTGTTTGTGGTTAGCGGCATACGATTTTACTTTCGGATTGCTACATGGACTTTATGTTTCTCATTACTTACGTGCGCGCAATGCGTAATGTTGAGTTTAGTTTTTTTGTGTGTTTTCGTCTTTCGGAGAATGTCTAACTTGCAATAAATATCCTTCTTCTACGAAGTGTAAAGAAAAAAAAGATGTGAATTTTTTTCGGGCCCGAGTAAAATTTCCACTATGCCACCATTTTGAAATCGTCCAGTCATAAGAATCTATAATAGATGTCTCTTAATTGAAATTTTCTCCACCCTTTTTATTTCATTCTTTTTAGTAACATGATCATGATCTTGTTAGTCGCTTTCATTTCTTAAAAATATAAAATTCACCTTAGTTGATCATAATGCACGATTGTGATTTATACCTCTAATGGATAATTGTGGCCATCAACCGAGTGTTCAGAGCCTGAACAGTTATCATTTCCCCAGTGAAATCGGATTACTGCAAGCTGGTATCGGTCGGTTAGTGGGCCACCTGTTACAACTGACAAGAAACAATAAATATCGATTCTACATTGATTCTTTTTCTGCATATTTCAAAGACTTTTAATGGCTATCTTTGCATGTTTCAAGCTGTGTTCATTTGAAGGCGATACCCTTAAAAATGTAGATTTCCGGGGCTGTTATAAAAATTGCAAACTGAAGGTTATTGTACAAAGACATCATGCGGGTATTCGGGGCGGCGAGCACAACACACTGTATCTCTCCCTCTTTTTGATTTTTTGTTTTCTTTTGTTGCCCCTTTTCCCGCCTCTCGCGAGTGTTTCGCACTTCGCGCTGGAGCCCCCACTCGACGCCAAGTAAGGCATACGGCAAACCTAATCTCTTCGAAGAGATTTTGCTTCAGTGATCAGATTATGCAATATTAGTATAGGAAATAGCATGATTTGTAGTGATATTGGGCATAAATACCGCGAGTGATATTTCAAAATTGTTATACGTAATTTCACGAGCCGCTATGCGAGTGAAATTTTAGACAGTTTTTGAAATGTCACGAGTGGTATTTATGCCAAAACCACGTACAAATCATGCTTTTATTTGTTTATACTACTACCCGCAAAGGTTTTCACATGTAGGTATTTCAAATTAAGCTGAAATACCACTGCTCTAAGCCAATCAAATTGCAGAATTTTCTCACGTAGTAGTATAACTGATCTAATACCAAGGTTTTAATACAACGAAACCCTTAACGCAAATAAAGAGTCGGAAAACCCAGCTTACGAATGGCCGATATTAGTAATGATTACACAATATCTATATATATACATATATATTGATGTTCTTGATCATGTAAAAGACGTCTATATAATTCTGTGCGCAAATGATAATATAAAAAGATTTAAATGTTTTTTCTCCATTTTAATTCTTTTTATTTACTTTCATTCAATTTTACTTTGGGACTCGGGGGTCAATCTCTCTCGAATCTAACCGTTGTGCGGTGTACATCGGAATGTTTAGTACTATTTATTATTTAAACTGACCGTGTCGAAACGGAAACTTTCCCAGAGCAATCTTGGTGCTTACTTGGAAGAGAACCGTCTATCTTTAATGCCCTAATATAAATACGAGAATCTGACGTCCGCTAGATTGGCGAACAAATTATCATTTCCGGCTTATATTGTTCAGAGGTTTTGATACATTTTTAGTGTTGAATCTAAATCCACATAGTTGACTATTTTCGAATCCTAACCCCATAGTGCACTCTGTTCCCTCAAATTTTGCTTAAGTTATTGTTTTCAAATGCAGTTTTGCTTTCAAATGCTCGTGTTAAAACGGAAACTTTTACAGCGCAATCTTGGCACTTGAGTGGATGGGAACCCAATATCAGGGCCTTAATGTAAATACAGGAATTTGACGTCCGCTAGGATGGCAACCAAATTATCATTTCCGGCTTATATTGGTGGCAGTTTTTGATACATTTTAGTATGGCATTCAAACTCACATAATTGATTATTTTCCAATCTCCCCGCATATTATTAATACACTCCATTTGTCGCCCAAGTTTTGTATAAGTTGTTGTTTTCAAACGGTGTTCTTCCAGGGGCATTAAATAAAGGTTTTACAAAATTTAGGAGGGTAAATTAAACAGAGCGTATTATGGGGACTCAAAAATAAGTAATTGTGACAGAAAATCAATATTATAGTACCTAAGGACATTGAGTGTTAGACACACTACACACGACACACTAGAGTGTTATTGTTTCAATCAATCTCTAGATCCTTAAAAGCTCAAAGCTAGCTCATTTTAGTCACGAACAAGCAAATCAAGGGTTGATCAGTGTTTTTGTTGGTTAATCAAAGATATAATATGCTTTTTTCATACCTGATTCATTTCTCGTTAAAGTGATTCGCAGTTGTCTTCCATCGTTTGTAATTGTACTATCGCGGATGCTTATATACTTGAACTGTACTGGCCCAACACTGTTTCCTTCCTTTGCCTGTGCTGTTTCGATATTAATCGGCGACTGCAAATTTCCGTTGGCGATCTTGAAGCGCTCGTGCCAGCAACGAGGGCCTTAAACAATGCACATAATTTCCTGAGTCTGACTGAATTAATATTTGATGATTTTATGAGCTTGCTATTGAACTACCCATTAAAGTATTCTACCTGTGGACTGGTATAGCAAATCATCCAAAGTCATTACATTTTTTCTGGTAAAAATCGAAATAAAACCACACTGGGATTTTTGATTCAGTATTCTTGTAGTTTTAAATACATATATGCTGCAGTATTGCGAATTAAAAATGAAGATGTGAAATTCGTTCACATTTAGACGGCAAAGTGAAAAGTCTCCCCCATTAGCACCTCTATTACTTCAATATTTTGAAATAAATTTTAGCTAAATTTTTAACAGATAGATAAACTTTCTTCGGTTCAGCATCTCATAAATTAGTGCTGTGAAACGAAATAAAATTTATTGAGAAACTTTGAAAATTAAAGTGTTGTTTCAGTGGGCTTTGCCAAAAATCCAGTTACTTCGGATTTAAATAACGGAGCACGTATTCAGCGTGAAAAGCCAAAAACCATTTCTTGCTGTGAATTATATTGGAGTTTCAACCACATATTAAGTCAACGGAAGAGAATTAAACCGGAACATACTTTAAAAACAAGACATTTGTTGTTTGAACTGTTGTTTCTCAATAATTAGAAAAATAAACGGAATGCTCGAAAAACCTTTTGCAATTGTGTCGTCTATTATAAACTTCAACTCTCGGAATTTTATCTGAATGACGGCCGCGAAATCAGGGGAAAAATTTGTTTTTGACATATTGCGTAGTCTGTTATGACAGAAAAATTTTCAACACGACAAAACGCGCTACTTCGATGAAAAATGAAATCCATGTTTAATATTTTGTAGAGTACCTACCTTACAAATCTATTTTATTGTTTGAATGAAGAGTAAACCGAATCCATGAAATACCAACCTTTGCGGCCAACTTACCGAATCCGTTCTCAGCATAGCTCCAAGAAGAGGTATTTGTCATTGCTTCTCACAATCAATTTTTATAGGGCAGCGTAGAGAAGACTACGATTTTGTTGTTGTTGTTGTTCAGTATTTTTTTACGTTGGTTTTCCAAACCGTCTGTCGCTCTCTCTTCCCGAGTGAAACAATATTTTGACAGCTTTTGAATTAATGAGATTCTGTCTTTAGCAAAAATAGAGAATATTGTCGGACCACGACATGGCAAATTTGGCCAATCACTGCGGTAGCATGCCTTGTAGGAAATCATACAAACAATACTATACTGGATGGTGCATTATGATCTATTATTATTTTTGGCTTCTTCTATCTCAGTGGTCAGATGCGTTCACAAACATTATCCTTGCAAATGCAAATCAGATGCGCGGTTGGGAGGTTTTGAGACCACATGTGTCAACTTCACTCAGCTATTACTAAGTGTTGTTGTTTCGTAGACGCAATAAGAGATATTCAGTGAGATATTCATGAGAACTGTCTAGCGCAAGAAATTTGAATACGTTTAGATGAGGAAACTTTCAAATTCCACTTTTCAGCACTAAATAAAATGTAACGAGTTCTGGAATAAGTAAATGAATCCAGTGTGCCGGTCATCCTTAACCGCAAAGCCCAAAGTGTAAAACTGATAAATCACCCATGTCTGAAGACTGAAGGTAAGCAACCTTATACGAATTTTACAGCAGAAAGCAAAAGAATAAATTTTAATATGTATTTGTAGTATCGTAAGCCTCGAGCTTATCATTGTCAGGAATGTTTACTCCTTTTTTTAGTGTAGGAATTGATGTTGATTTTAATAGCAATTAATGATTTCTATTTCTATAGCGCGTGGGAGGGTGAGGAAGTGAGATAGAAAATTCAGATTTCGCGGGGAAATTTATTGCGAGATTTAGGAAATGGTCAAATAAGATGTTTTGTTTGCAACACCTGCCATCTATATATTTTTTTAAGAACGCACTAATGTATAATATATTCAGTCATATATCTAGTGGTGCTAAGGTGCAAGATAAGCTGTTGAAAGTACAGCAGTTTGAGTATCAATGCTGTTGCAATTCGTTAATTCACCATCCTTGGGGACCAATAAAGACCAACAACAAAGAAAAGAAAAAGAAAGATCGTTCCGGCTCGTAACACAAAACCAAAATACCTGTCAAGTTCACACAAATGAGAGAAATGATTGGTTCACGTTTGATTTTAAAATCCGCCCGAGTAGTGGTGGAGGTTATAACAGTCGATAATCCACGAGGACTTTCGGTCCCTCCTCGGCATGCCTAGAGTTTGGAGATCATCAAAAACTGGATACTCCAACTTTCTTCTTGATTGATTACGACAAAATTAACACTCCGATCTCCAAAACGTTTTGTATATACATTTTGGAATAAAGGGAATTCTAAGCGCTGTGTATAAAACTGGGATGGGGGCATTGGGACGCCTCTGTCGGGGACTTGTGACTTGGGCTTGGACTTGGACTTGTGACTTGAATGACGTTCAGAAAAAAACTTGGTTTGCAATCGCAAAAAAGGAAATACACCAAAATTTCCCAAGAGCGAAATATTCGCTTGTCCGACTGAAATAGCCTACCCATGTTAAGGAATTATGATTCTTTGTAAGCATTTTTGTCATCACCATGGAAGACGTTTTATAAAAAATTGTAAAGTTTAAACCCCTCTTCTGTAAATGGATCTTTGTCTTGAAAGCACTACAACATTGCTATTAATATCTAATAATCAAGTATGAAAATTAGGAAAATGCTGTAGTTTTATTTGTTTTTTTTTTGTTTTCTTATTCCCGGGCGGCCTAGGACGAGTGCTTGTTTTTGCGCGAAAGTGATGCTAATGCGGGTCAATTCTTACCAAGAAGACAAACAAATATGAAAAAACTGAGGCTGAGATGCCGAAAAAAAGGACAATTTGAAACGTTGAAAGGTTTTGGAGGTCTCAAAATTTATATACAGGCTTGAGAAATCATTGTTTTAAACAGCAAAAGGAAAATCAGCTCGTCATCACGAAGAAAAACGAGCCTAACCAGAATTTGACCGGAATAGTGGTCAGTGAGTGAGTTAAATAAAAATGCGAAGATGGTTTCAAAATCCTTACACAAGGTAATACCCTGAAGTCATTTTAATGTTATTTTCAGTGATTGATAAAACTTCTTTAAGCCATACCTTCCATTGGAGTGTACGTACTTGTCGAAAGCCTGCAAGTTAAACTGAAACCTTCATTTTACTTGACATTTTTTCTAACGGAGAAAATGCAAAATCTTCTGTATTTGAAAAAAAATATATACTCGGGGCAGGCGTTCTGCATAAATACCTTGTACTGTAAGAAAATTAAATCGGTTTGAACGAAGATTACTAAAATACTACACGTTTATTTATACATTAAGCTTACACTTAGCTTACATTATTTATCAAAATATTCAGTCACAGAGAAAACGTACGCACAAGAACTCGACGAGAACTCGAACACAGAATTTTATACAGACGATATACTGCGCAGTTTAAATTCCGTTTTATAGGTATACACAAGATTAAAATAGAATGCTATGAAGTAAGATAATTAAAGAGAATAAAATAGTTTAATTTTAACAAACTTTACCCTTTTCAAGCTCAAAAAGTTTACTGCTTCTTCTGGCTTCGTCGCTTTTTAACTTTCTCCTTTTAAGTACGATCAGCTTTTCCCACAATTTTGTTCTTTGCAACAGGTATCCCTTTGGCTTACTAGTAAATTTTAAGCTTTGAAATCTTACTTTATTTAAGATTTCTATTATTTTCCAGCGACTCAGCGGAAATTACCTATGTTTGTTTTTGTTTTTGCAAAGAAGTTGACCCAAATTAGCCTCGCAATCGTGCTCGTCCAAGCCAGGGCCGCGGGGAATACGAAACTTGCCTTAATTGACCCTCATTAAGAAGATATAAACAACGCAATGCTGAATTACAATACTCGGCTTAATTTCTTTCGGCTTAGGGTCTTGCTATAAATTTTTTTCTCACAAAATAGGCTGTAAAGTGACAGCAATCTTACTTCTGAGATCAAGCAATTGTCTGGTGGCTATCTGATCTTTGAAGGGAAGGTCTGTCTGATTGTGTCGCCATCATCGGTTTTCATTCCCGGCTTATTAGTTGTAATATTTTGAATAAGATATAATGGTAGAATTTATGAGGGCAATTAGATAATCAAGTCGGCAGAGGATAGAGCGTAACTTGGTACATTCTTCTTTAAAGGCTTCTGTCGTCGATGACAGCTGGGCATCGGCGCGATGTAACATGGTCTCAATAAACCAGTTTTGTAACTTTTGTCTACATGGCTTTAAAGGATTTCTGTAAACACGGGTTTTTTTTATTATTATTTAAGACAAGCTATCTGGACCAAAACCCAGCCTTAATACATTATACTACCAAGAGTTATCTTTTGTCAAAAGGGGTCATTTTTAATGAGTTAATTTGTTTCGTATCTTATGTCTACTTTATTACACTATCAATAACGGACGTCTTTATTAGTTGCAATTACTTTATGATGCTTTAAGAAGAAACGTCCTGGTTTCGCGAGACTTCGAAAGACACGTGATTTGAAATATTCAAAGGCTAAATATGGAAATGTTGAAATGTCCATCATCTAGCTGCCCCGCTTTTCCTGTTTTCTCCTCTGTTTTTCCTGAAGCATACATCGATTGCTGGCCATAAGCCTGACTTCTTCTTCTTGCACCTATGTATCCAACACCAATAATAATTAAGTAATCTCTTACTACGACAAGGCGTAGGAACTGTACTTACTAAAGGTGCCTTATTATTTGACAATTAGTGAATGAGGCTGAGCATCTTATGAAGAATTATGGAGATCGAGGAGGGTGTTATCCGTCGAGGCCGTAGGCCGAGGCGGATAACACCCTCCGAGATCTCAATAATTCTTCATATGATAAGAAAGCCGAATTCAATAATTGTTTTATTTTTCATTCAAAATAATTCCTAGTTTAAAAACAAAGCTAAAACATGGTTACCTCCATCGCTGTTAAATTCACCTTCGATAGTGCACGTTTAGGGTTGTTCAGCTCTGCAAATATTCTCCAAATAGCAGATGTCGCCCTTCGAGTTGTGTTCTTGCCGTTCTTGCCATGTTTTTAGTTATAATTTCGCCTAGTTCTTACTCTTGAAACTGTATGTTAAATTGCGACGAAAAACGTTTCAAGAACGCTGCATTTTGACGTCAAACATAACTTAATACTTGAGTTGATCCTTCAGCTTTCTTGCTTAATAAGCGGTTAAAACAGTACCATTTATATCACAAACGAGGCTGTGAGAGTTAAGTACCACAAAGTTTCAGAAGAGGAGAACATCACATTTTTTGTATTGAGTGCCCAAAAGCAGCAGGATATAAAATCTCGCGTCATTATTTATCACCAGAGTTTTGTTTTCCTCAGTATGAAAATCTGGTAACCGATCAAAGTGATAAATGCCGTGGACATTGTCAACCGTACGCCCATTACATGTAAACCAGTTTACTAGAATATCCTTTCAAGTATGTACGGCCTTTTTAGCGGGAAATCGTCTGCCTGGCCAAGCGTCGCTTTTTTCTTCGAAAAAAAATTGTTCAACGGCTTTGGTGCAAACTTCGCATTTCAGATGGGTGGATCTAATCCAAATATGCGAGAACAATATAGATTTCCCTCAATATCTACAATCTTAGACAAAAACCTTGAAACACTTTGAACATTCTCGCACCACTTCTGCCCCCCTCCCTTTTGCAATGTTTTTGTAGCCAGTGAAACAGTAAAATGTCATCTCAACATTTCACAGGGGAAAGGGGTGTTTCAAGGATTGTTGGCGAGGATTGTAGATCAATTTGGCACATATGAAATGCGACGCCGTTCCGTTGAAGCGGGCCTTACAGTGTAATAAGTAAGTAAAGGTTTATACATAAATGTGTCAAGAAAAGCATCAGTATATAATGGCAGTTCCTTTCTAAGTCTGCCTAAATCGGCTAAAACGAACGGTCCACTACGATTCACTTATTATACGATAACAAAACTTACTTATAAGTGGAGGCACATTCCTTATAAAATCCTTAGGAAATCCGAAATTTCCCCTCGGTTTATAACGCGCAACCGTAAAGAAATTTTTCTCGCTCATGGCAACTGCCATTCCAAGCTCTGTACTCTCTTTCCAAACCACTTGAGTAAAATGAAGTATCACCCCTCCTTTACTTTGTCCAGTATTGAAATCATAGTTGGTTATCTCGTCATACCAGTCCTTGACCATTTCTTGGCACTGCGTACAACTGGATGTCTTTGGACCTTGGCAAGGTTTCGTTGGTATTGACATGGAAAACCACGCGAGATTTTCGCCAACTTCACCGCGGTTATTGTCATGTGGGATGGACGTATCATCTAAAAATAGGAACACCAGAGAACCTTCAAAACAACGTAACTAATGTTGTAAATCTTCTCAGTCTTTTTAAACCCGAATTTAAGTAACGTCGAAGCAAATACGTACTTGTTAATTCAGCTTTCCTAATACTCGGCTTCTAAATCAACCATCTTGGATGTCTGATGAAATCAGACAACGAATGAAATCTCGAATTTTGATACATACATACATACATACATACATACATACATACATACATACATACATACATACATACATACATACATACATACATACATACATACATACATACATACATACATACATATACTTTATCTATGCTCGAAATTTACAGAGTAGCTGTAGAGCTAATGTATTCGAGAAAAATTGATGAAACGGAAAGCTGTTAAATCTAAAGATCTGGACAGTTGGAACTGTTATAGGACCCACAGGAACAAAATAACTCGCTTAATTGAATAGGCGAAGATCAGATTATTATAATCTTCAAAATGATGTTTTATATTTAGGAGGCTTCTACCAAATAAGAAGAATGTTACTCTGCATGATTTGGATATTGATGGCTCCCACATAACTGACAACCTTGGAATATCTAATGTTGGTACACGTTTGAGACAAGTTACGACGTTTCTGCGGGTGGACGTTTCTGATATACCAGATGATGTCTCGGACGCTACTAATTTTATTTTTAACGATATATCTACTAAATTTGTACGTAAGAGTTGTCTTCACTGCGTTTAAGTAAATCCTCTGGACTTGAAGATATCCACACTCGTTTCCTTAGAGTTGATGCAGATGTTCTTGAATCCTCGTTGAGTTATGTCTTCAACAACGCTCTTTTCAGTCTTGTGAAATTCTTAATTCCTGGAAATGTGCTACAACGACTCCTCTACATAAATCGGGATTCCTGTCTGATCCTAATAATTTTAGACACATTTCTGTGCTTCCTGTGGTAATGAAGATTTTTGAAAGGGAAGCCGGCATAAAGTTTATAGTCATCTTACTATTAACAACTTACTCTCGCCATAACAATCTGGATTCAGACCAGGTCATTCCACTGTTCTTAAGGATGTCAGTGACCATATATTGAGGAATATTAACAAAGGCAACGTAGCTGGTGCTGTAGTTTTAGACCTCAGCAAAGCTTTCGATTTGATTAACCACCCTAAACTTAAAACAAAGCTTGCAAAGGTTGGTATCAGATGGCCCGCTTTGGACTGCATTGCTAACTATTTACAGAACAGATCACAGGTTGTTTGGTTAATAGTACTTTATCTGACCGTTTAGATCTTTCTCTGGGCGTTCCCCGAGGGTTTTGTTCTAGGACTGCCTCTATTTATTTTATTTGTTAATGATCTTTCCCTTAGTGTCCATCGATGTAAATTGGTTCTTTACGCTGATGATACTGCTCCTTTTTATGCTGGTAAGGATAGTCATTCTGTTCATTCTGCTCTTCAAGAAGATCTTTGTAAGTTCGATAATTGGTTCTCTGCTAATCATGAATTAATTATAAACTGTATTACGTCTAAAGTTATATTTTTTCGGTTCGAGGCAGAAGCTGGTTACCCTACATAAGTATTAGTTATTGCTGTCTGGTCAATCGCTTGAAGTCACAGATACTGTGAAGTATCTTGGATTAACTTTTGATCCCTTATTAATGGATTGGCCGCGCAGCCACATAGACTGTCTTACTTCAAAAGGGACTTGGTCTTCTTGGAAAGATCAGGGCCCAGTTGTTCGAAGGCTGATTAGCGCTTAACCTAGAGTTAAATCTAGCCCGGGTTTCTTTTTCTTTTGTTCAAAAGCATTTTCCAGGAGAATTTTCGCTGTATTTTTAAGATCATCCAATCATCAACTTGCTGACAGAAAAAATTAAACTGAACTTTTTAGAGAAACCTGTAAAACCTTGCATAATGCGCTTATTCAGCCTCTGTGTGATTGTGACATTATCTGGTCAAACGCTGACAAATCAAGTCTGATTGCAAAAGCGCGGTGTCCGCCTTATACGTTTGAAGAAGATTAGGTAAGAACACACAGTGAATTTATTTCAGGATCTCGGATGGCTTCCTTTGACCGTTTCTTGGCTTTTTCATAAATGTTTGACTGTTTTTAAGTGTCCAAATGGCTATTGCCCTTCTTATCTCAATGATCCTATTTTTATCTATTTAACAAATTCATAACCCTAATACTCCAAGACCCATTAACGACATTCATATCAGGCCAAGCATTTCATCTCGATCTGGTTTGAGATCAATTTCTTGTTCAGTTGCCAAAAATTGTATAATAATCTCGACGTTTCCATCAAACATTCTCATTCTATTATTAATTTTGTAAAGAATTGTTGGAGTAAATCATTTCCTTATGAGATTACATGACATGTTACTTATATTTTAGAAGTAGAATTTAGTTTTAGCCTCAGGCGCCATTTAACTACTGTAGCTCCGTCTGGGATGGACTCAGCGTTACCCTGAGTAATAAGCTGCAAAAACTCCAAAATAGGGTTGTTCGAGTCATTCGTTACGAGTGCAAGCATCCTCCTAAATAGGCTCCACTGGGACGATCTTTTGACACGTTGAAAGAAACTAAAGGCCATGTTAATGGTTAAAACATACACACTTAAAGGGCTTTTCCCCTTGTACTTGCAAGATTTATTTAGCATCGACAGGACTCCGTATAATCTATATAACAGTTATTACTTTATCTTTTGTTGTTAATGTAATACTGAAGATTTTACCGTTTATAAATAAATAAAGTATTTACGTTAGTCTTCGTCCTGTAACGAAATCAGTCACTCACCTGTCTGTTTCAGGTGATTAGCATATTTCTGCGCAGCTTGTGTCAGCGGTTTGCTCCATTTCAGAGGAGGAACCCCATGTTTAGCGCGATAATCATTATGAGCTTTTAAGCAATTCTGTTCAAATGGAGTCATCCCTGCAGATTAAACGCGTGTTCAGATATTTTATTAAAACGTATTTAATCGCTAAGAGTTTCAAAGCTAAAATTGTTACCGTTAATTGATTTTTACAGGAAAATATATAACCCTCCACAGAATGTTGGAAAGTGGTTAACTGCTATATGTCAACTTGCGTGTATGTAGGACGTAGAAGTCTGGGGCTGAGACCCAAGAGCATGATGAAATATGGAAAATCCCGGTGTTATGTAGAGAAGCGCGCAGAGAGATAAAGATACCACGACCGCGACGGCGGCGACGGCGGCGAAAACGTTACCTAAAAAGTGGAACTTCAGTGCGATTATCCCAACTCGCTCACTTTGTCCAATGTAAGCAATTTTTCCTGGAGTTTGATTCTTAAGAAAGAAATTCAAGTTTAGGGAGAGAAAAAACAAATTTGTCGTGGTATGTTCACGTTGTCCATGAAACCTGAAATTTGGCAATTCACGTAGTAGTCGTGCATTGACGGCAAAGAAATGTACAAAAAAGCGTGGTGCACGTGCTGAGTTGTTGTTTTGCTAATCTAAACCTATTGCTTTTTTTACATTTTCGTTGCTGTTGCCGTAGTGGTCTCTTACACTCCTTAGTAAGTAGCTACTGTACAGATTCTATTCGATCGGCAAAAAAAAATGAAAGGAAGGAAAGTGAAGACAGCGTCACATGTACACCAGATTATGAACCTGCATGAGCATACTGGATTATCTGAAATTTATTGATTGTCAAAAATATCAAAAATGTCTGTTTCCTTTTTTTCTTCAAAACGTGCAAGAAATATTTGAGTTTTTCGGAAATTTGATCAACAACATTATCCAAAATAAACATGACTACCTCCTTGCTGCCCTGGTTGTCCTGTGGCGCCTCCTTGGGCAGGAGCAGGTTGCTGGCTTCCACCACCTGTGACCAAGAAAAAGGTCAAAATTAACGTGGAAATATTTTTTACTGAATGCTACATGTTTCTGTGAGCAGAAATGCAATTAAGAACCTCCTGTTCAAGGACTTCTGAGGCATCGAATGGCAATATCATTTATTGAATAAATATCTAGCCCTAGTTTTTGAAAACCTTACCGCCAAATAGACCTTTTTCGTCAATCAAAACTTTTTTCGGCCAAAAAACATCTACAATGTGGCCATTATAAAAGCTAATAAAGCTAAGATTTTGATTCATTTTACCGAATACCTTTTACTGTCCTTTTTATAATATATTTTGGACACTTTAATACTCAGTTAAAAGTCTTGTTGCATCTTAGTTTTTACTGAACTAACTCAACATATGATTAGCTTGTTCCAGATAGTTTTAACCGATCCCCTGTTACCTGAAGGCCTGGCACGGGCTAGCTATATTATGACTAAAGCGTGTCATTAAAACGCCCACCTCCTGGCTGCTGCCCTGGGGTACCCGATGGGTTTATTGGCTGTCCTCCTGGGGCAGTGGTGGGTTGCTGGCCACTAGTCTGACTTCCTCCTCCTGTAATAAAATATATTTACACAACACCCAAAGGCACAATACCCTAATTTATACCCTAATCTTAAAACAATTGTGACATTGATGTAGAGTAGGATGACTTTTTAAATCTGATTCTGAGTGACTGATGATGTATTTGCAAAGTAAGCTTCATCACCGTGTAAGTGAACAGGGAGCAGGAGAAATGAATGATCACTACTCAAGATGAATTTGCAGAGTAAATATACTTATGAGCGTAACCGAACACAGCTTCAGGCGATCTTGTTGTAGGTTTAATCGTCATAGAAAATCGTCATATTGTTTTGACAAATGGCGATCATCTGGGTAGGAACAATTATCTCCTTTGTGGGGGCTGTATGTCATAAGACCATAAATACAGTTAATGTAAAAAATCTTTAAAATGGATATAATTTAAATGGACGACGAAGGGTCTCGAAATTGAGGAAAACCCTCAACGAAAAATCTATCCAAACTTGTGATAAAGAATCAATAAGGCACCTTTTTTTCCATTTTATCATAGAATTTTATCATAGTTTTTTTGCCTTTTTCATTGGAATTTTATCATGGTTGCTGCTAGTTCTGTGCACGTCTCATTTGTCATACCTGGAGTCTTACCTTTGGGATTTTCGCAGATATAAGCCTTTGGATAACGTCCGTCAAGATCGTTAAAAAGCCCTTGACTTCCAGGCGGATAATCTTTGGATATGACAGCGACTTCACCGTCTCCAGATGGCTCTCCCTTCTGCCACTTTGAAATGGTCAGCGTTTTTCCACTGACCCATTTCCAGTTCCCCTCTTTTTTCAAACCTATGTGCCATTCATTTACTCCACCGGGAAGTGTCATTTGTTGAATCTGTTTATTGATGTATTCCCATTTTTCAGGTGTTTCCATGGAAACCAGATCACCTCCCATTTCTTTGCAGCTTTTTTGGTTTTCGGACCACGTTTTGCCTTTTTCAGAAAATACGAAGCAGGAATTTCCAAAGCATTTTCCCCCGTTACCTAAAAAGAGTGATACAAGTACATGAAATGTGGTCAATTTTTTGGGCTTGACAGGAGCTCCTGGGCTCCTGGGCTTGGTTATTCTGGAAAATCTATCTATTAACACCCAGCCATCACACCACCTCATGCGGTTTTAACTGTAAACTCCTCAAAAATCTTTGATGCAGCAACAGGTATTCCGCACTGATGTCAGGCAAAAATTGATGTATAAGACAAATGTGAACGCGAAAGCGGTGGGGGCTAAACGCGAATTGCGGTGTTCAAGTTGCGGCTGTGCCATTAATATCAATTCGGATTTTTAGATCTGCGCTTGCGGTCGTCATTATCGTTCTGCTGCCTTTGCTAGATCTGCCGATTGGTTCGGTGCCAGACGGTCGCGTTGTTTTGCTGGCAAGTAGTATTAAGACGCATGGCATTTTTCTGCTCTTAAATTCCAATTTTAGTCATTTCATTAAACTCACCTGACGGTGTTTGACCTCCAGGCGGCTTTCCCTGACCTCCGGGCGGCTTTCCTTGACCTCCGGGTGGCTTTCCTTGACCTCCGGGCGGTTTTCCTTGACCTTCGG